AAGAGCACCATAGGAGCGATTATGACCTATACGGCTAAAACTAGACCTCACACATTAACGTAACTCAAGTCATGTCTTATACGTTGATATATTGTTTTATACCGAAATAAAATTACTTGAGAATGAAAAGTAAATTCAAACTGAATTATAAACACATACTCATTTGAATCTAATTTAACTTTATTTCACTATTTAGAATTAATTAACATTTAATTAACATCTGAACACTACGAAGTTTTACAATATTTGTTCGTCTGTCTCTTTTTTTAACGAAATTGGAAAATTTTGGAACTTGGACACAAAAAGAAGAAATCGTAAAGAAGAAGAATAGAATAAATAAATAAACCCTTTCTTTTAATAAAGATATTAGAAGTAAAATTAACATACAGGGTGATTTATTAGCTCACCATCAAACTTTGACATATGATAGCAATTACCAAAATATTCTATTCAATTATTCTATATTATGTTATGTTCTATTTCAATTATTTACGAAATTATAACACTTTAAAGTTTTCTGTAGCGAATTTATTAATAGTCATTGTACTGTATTGATACCATATCAAATACAAAAAGTAACCAGTTTTGAACGACATCAAAAATAATTAAGCCGAGGTCGCTTGCGGCCGAGGCATTACATTGATACCATATCAAATACAAAACTGACTAATTTTGAACGATATTAAAAGTAATTAAGCCGAGGTCGCTTGCGGCTGAGGCAGAATATGGATACCATATCACATACAAAAAGTACCCAGTTTTGAACANAACATGATATTCCACTACAGACCATAAAAGAAGTCCACCAGTTCAGCTTACCGTACAGTGTACGAGTTTCTTCTACTAATATTTTCGTCAAACAACTAAAAAAAAGGATAAAGCCAGACACTAAATTTGTATACGATCTACTATAATAGCTAATCTATAATAGTATAAAAACAGTTTTTATCTTCTCCAAATAAAAATTGTCTTGAAAGGGTTAAAGATCACTTACTGGAGCAGACTCTAACTTACAAACCTACAACTCTTCAACAACATAGCAAAACAATTCAACATGTCCATAACTGCTCAAAAAACTAAATACACGACAACAGCGAAAGCGTCAATTTGATGTAAGCTGGTGGTGAACCAGATATAATAGAACTGGTTATATCATTGGCATACTTGGGAGTTGAACTATCAAGGTTTGGTGTTATTGAAAGTGAAGAATCCACTATATTGATACCATATGAAATACAAAAACTGACCAGTTTTGAACTATATTAAAAGTAATTAGCCGAAGTCGCTTGCGGCTGAGGCAGAATATGGAAACCAAATAAAAAAAATAGCAGTAGCCATGCGTAACCATAGCAACCAATTGTTTCAGATATTTTATTAAAGATAATAATTAATTTCTAATATCTAAAACTGTTGGTAACCCCGCTTACGCATGGCTATTGATTTTTTCATAAAGTGCTTTTAATTGTTTTTGGGCAACCCTGTATATTAAGCCCTAAAACTAACCAATTTTGAACGATATTAAAAGTCGAGGTCGATTGTGGACTTGGCACTACATTGTATGAAAATTAAATATTCAACAAAAACAAAGTTGTCATTGTAATATGTCAGTTTGCTGTAAGGCACGTAAGGTTTAATTATTAGTATTATTTACATACAAGAAAAAACTCAAAATGTACGCTTATAGCACTGAAGAGTATGCTGATATAATTTTCGTGTATGGTTTTTGCAATGGAAATGCTCGACAATCAGTACGAGAATATTAAGAGCGTCATTTTTGCCATATTATTCAGTTTTTAGCGATTCTTTCAGAAGACTTCGAGAAACAGGTAATCCTGCTCCAGCAAAAGTTATTCGACCGCATGTAGTTAATGTAGAGGATGAAGAAGCTGTAATTAATGCTGTTATTGATAATCCTTCCGTCAGGACTCGAAGAATAGCACACAACATACAGGTAAGTCAAAATTTTGCATGGCGCGTATTGAACCGCGAAGTCCTTTATCCGTATCGTAAACAGAATGTTCAAGCTCTACAGCCAGGAGATAATCAGCAACGGTTAGCATTTTGTGAATGGTTATTACAGCAACATGCCCAAAATAATGACTTCATTTCAAATGTTCTCTGGATAGATGAATCATAATGAACATATCTGGGCATTACAAAATCCGCATGCGATTAAACCAAGGAAATTTCATGAACGTTTCAGCATCAACGTATGGGATGGAATATTTAACAACAATTTACTATTGTAATTTTAATTGTAATTTACTACGCTGTAAATTACAGATTTTTTTAACAATACACTTTTTGATTTACTTGAAGATATACCTCTTAACGTAATTCAAAATATGTGGTACCAGCACGATGGTACCCCACCTCATCGCGGAAGAGTAGTTGTCGAGTGGTTAAATAAATATTTTATAAAACAAGTGGAGTGGTAATAATGGTCCATTTGTTTGGCCACCTAGATCCCGCGACATTAATCCATTAGATTTCTACTTATGGGGTCAAATGAAATAAATTGTGTATCAAGTGGAAATTAACACATGAACAGTTATTAAACAGAATACAAATGGCTGCTACTGAAATAAGAAATCAACCAGACATTTTAATTCGGCTGAAGAACTCTTTAATTCGTCGTTGTGAAGCATGTATTCTAGCAGAAGGTGGCTATTTTGAACAATATTTGTAATATTTATGTGTTTAAAAAAAATGTTGCAGTTACTTATGATATAAAAATTAAAACTTTAAAGTGTTATAATTTCGTTTTATTATGTTCATTAACTTTTTTTTTTGGTAATTGGATTAGCTATCATATGTCAAAGTTTGATGGTGAGCTAATAAATCACCCTGTATATCACGTCATAATATTATGTCCCTCAAATAAAAACTGATAAGACAGCAAACATTTTAAAAACCACGATAATAAAAAGATTATTTTAAAGANTGCGGCTGAGGCAGAATATGGATACCATATCACATACAAAAAGTACCCAGTTTTGAACAACATCAAAAGGAATTAAGCCGAAGTCGCTTGCGGCTAAGGCACTACATTTATACCATATTAAATACAAAAACTGACAAATTTTGAACGATATTAAAAGTATTTAAGCCGAGGTCGCTTGCGGCTGAGGCAGAATATGGATACTATATGACATACAAAATGTAACCTGTTTTGAACGATATTGAAAGTAGTCAAGCCGAGGTCGCTTGCGGCCGTGGCACTACATTGATACCATATCAAATACAAAAACTGACCAGTTTTTAACGATATTAAAAGTAATTAAGCCGAGCTTGCTTGCGGCTAAGGCAGAATATGGATACCGTATCACATACAAAGAGTAACCAGGTTTGAACGATATCAAAAGTAATTAAGCCGAGGTCGCTTGCGGCCGAGGCACTACATTGATACCGTATCAAATACAAAAACTGACCAGTTTTAAACTATATTAAAAGTAATTAAGACGAAGTCGCTTGCGGCTGAGGCAGAATATGGATACCAAATAAAAAAATAGCAGTAGCCATGCGTAACCATGGGAACCAATTGTTTCAGATATTTTATTAAAGACTGATTATTAAAGATAAATTAATTTCTAATATCTAAAACTGTTGGTAACCACGCATACGTATGGCTATTGATTTTTCCATAAACTGCTTTTAATTGTTTTAACGAATTTATTCGTTACTTTTGGGCAACCCTGTATATTAAGCCCTAAAACTAACCAGTTTTGAACGATATTAAAAGTCGAGGTTGATTGTGGACTTAGTACTATATTGTATGAAAATTAAACACTGAACAAAAACAAAGTTATCATTGTAATATGTCAGTTTGTTGTAATGTTTAATTATCACATACAAGAAGAAACTCAAAATGTCCGCTTATAGCACTGAAGAGTATGCTGATATAATTTTCGTGTTTTTGCAATGGAAATGCTCGACAATCAGTACGAGAATACCAAGAAAGATTTCCACAGCGTCATTTGCCATATTATTCAGTTTTTTGCGATTCTTTCAGAAGACTTCAAGAAACAGGTAAACCTGCTCCAACAAAAGCTATTCGACCGCATGTAGTTAATGTAGAGGATGAAGAAGCTGTAGTTAATGCTGTCATTGATAATCCTTCCATCAGCACAACATACATGTAAGTCAAAATTTTGCATGGCGCGTATTGTACCGCAAAGTCCTTTATCCGTATCATAAATAGAATGTTCAAGCTCTACAGCCAGGAGATAATCAGCAACGGTTAACATTTTGTGGTTATTGCAGCAACATGCCCAAAATAATGACTTCATTTCAAATGTTCTCTGGACAAATGAATCATAATAAACATATCTGGGCATTACAAAATCCGCATGCGATTAGACCAAGGAAATTTCAACAACGTTTCAGCATCAACGTATGGGATGGAATATTTAACAACAATTTACTATTGTAATTTTAATTGTAATTTACTACGCTGTAAAACTACTACGCTGTAACCGAATACAAATGGCTGCTACTGAAATAAGAAATCAACCAGACATTATAATTCGGCTGAAGAACTCTTTAATTTGTTGTGAAGCATGTATTCTAGCAAAAGGTGGCTATTTTGAACAATATTTGTAAAATTTATGTGTTTAAAAAAAATGTTGCAGTTACTTATGATATAAAAATTAAAACTTTAATGTGTTATAATTTCGTGTTTTTATGTTCATTAACATTTTTTTTTGGTAATTGGATTAGCTATCATATGTCAAAGTTCGATGGTGAGCTAATAAATCACCCTGTATATCACGTCATAATATTATGTCCCTCAAATAAAAACTGATAAGACAGCAAACATTTTAAAAACCACGATAATAAAAAGATTATTTTAAAGACTTTTTAATTTTCGACCAATTTCTGTCTTAGATCATCTTCGGGAGCAATAAGATAAACAGTAATTAAAAATTTGTTAGCATATAGTTTGATTAAATTTCTACAAAAGATATTTGAATGACATAGCAATGTATTAATAAAATTTTTAGTATATCATCTAACATCGGATGTTATATTAAACGGAAATTGTGTAAACCACAATTACGAAGTGAAATGAATATTGTCATGTGGAGATAAAAGTTTAGACACATTATGAAGATATGGGCGGCCGCGGTTTGGTTCCGTCTATGGTGGTTCCGTTATGGAGGTGGGGACGACGACGGTACCAACCCACTCACGTCACGGCGCTCGGAGTGGATAGAGTCAGTCCCGAAATACACTTCAGCACAGTTAAACACACACACAAGATCGCCTGAAGAAAAGAAGTGAGGCGTCGTTGTCGTCGCGACGTTGAAAGAATCAAGAGAGAGTGTGCCGGTCGGAGTGGACAACTGAAGAAGACTAAATATTACGGAACCGCGCCACCGAGACCACGAGAGAACATTTGTATATAAAACCAGTAAATTGTGTACAATTCGTCGCGTGTTTGTATATAAACGGTGTATACAATATTTGTGTATACAACTCGTAACGAGTATCAAATGTTTGTAATATAGCCGCGGCAGTAAGTCATTGAAGATTAAACTGTTTGGACAAGGATACAGGCCTTATAATAAAGTAAATGTTTACGGGGCAGTAGTTTGCCATATACACGAATCGCGGGTAATATGATGAAGGAGCAACAGTTGACCGAGGTCAGCGGGTCGGACCAGTTGCCATCGGTCGTTCATCAGCAAACCATTAATATCCAACAGCATCTTCATCATCTTCACCTCCATCAACATCAACATAATAGCGTTATTTTATCAACGGCAGTGGAACAGCAAGCTCAAAATCAAACCCAACAGCAATCCAACCAATTGCAGCAACCCCAACAACAAGAAGTCCAACATGTCCAACCAGAAAGTACCGCGCCCGATTCGGACACAAAACCGAGCAGTTCAGAAAAAAAATCCGGTATGCGAAGGCAAGAAAAACCACCCTATTCTTACATAGCATTAATAGTAATGGCCATTCAACATTCGCCGACAAAACGTTTAACGCTAAGCGAAATTTATACATTTCTTCAACAACGTTTTCCATTTTTCCGAGGATCTTACCAAGGGTGGAAAAACTCCGTTCGTCATAATCTTTCATTAAACGAATGCTTTATAAAATTACCCAAAGGATTAGGACGTCCCGGTAAAGGACATTATTGGACCATCGACCCCGCCAGTGAATTCATGTTCGAAGAGGGTTCTTTCAGAAGACGCCCGCGCGGATTTCGACGAAAATGTCAAGCGATGAAACCCCAATACCACCCAACATTTTTCGGCAACAACATGCCAATGGTCAACCAACCAACGGGTTACGAACACCAAAATTTGGTTCCAACACAAGAATACTCAACTTGTTCTTACAACACTGCGCCAACTCAAGTGTCCTCGGTGAGCGGATCTCATTATTCTACTTACGAATATCCGGTGTATCAGCAACAAACCGATCGTGAGTGGAGTTCTACACCGGCGATTTTACCACCGTATCCCGATGCTACAATTTCAACTACGTACTTGAAGGCGCCCCTTAGTCCTATTCAAAGTACTCAAGAATGTCTGTCGCCTCCACCTCCTAGCGTCTCAGAATCATTTAATTATACTTATGGAATGCCTTCACCGTCGGATAATAGTAAGTAATATTTTGATTTCTTAAATTCATTAAATGAACAGATTTAAATGTACTGTGGGAATTAAATTAGTATCATAAATAATCTTTGCAGAATTTTTTAAATTTTTTTGAGAATATAAACTGATTACCGATTTTCTACCAAATCTCGTTTATACGCTGAACAAAGCAAAATCTAATATGTAGGTTTAAGAAAGAGAAAGCACTACGAATACTTGATATGGTAAATTTATTTTTAGTTAACTTTAGGCATAGCTTATTGCAACAAATACCAGTTACTATCTATGTCTCATTATAAAGTGTTAATACTTACCAATCGATTTTATTTGCTATTCATGCATCATATACTTTGAATGTTTAATTAAATCTATTATGATATACCAAGAAAGCAGTGTTGCTTAATCCATAGCACCCATTGCAATTTCTATTTTTGTATGTCTTGTATTTTTTTTAATCTATGTCTATACATACCCGAAATTTCATGCATATAACTTGCAATATATTAACGCAGTAACCATAGTTACGAAACTATTGTATACTTACACTGTCCCACATAAAATCTCACCTAGTTTTGCAAAGGAAAAGTTATGCTTGGAAAAAGTTGAACCGAATGATTCTGGTTCTAGGTCTAGTGTTAGTTCTACTTTTCGTTCAATAAAAATATACCACAGTCTAACGCTGAATAACAATTAAAACTGGAACTAACACTAGACCTAGATCTAAAAACATTCGGATATAGCAGCACGTCTCTAAAGACCGCTAAACCCGAATGATTCTAGTTCTAGGTCTAGTGTTAGTTCTAGTTTTAATTGTTATGCAGCGCTAGACCAAGTACTAGAATCATTCGGGTTTAGTCGTCTTAGTAGACGTACGACTAAACCCAAATGTTTCTACACTGAGAAAAATAATGTGGGAAAACTACCTAAAATTTAGTCATATTATCTAGAATTTTTAGTTAAAAATTAGCTAACTACTACTACTAGTTATAAAAACCAATTCTATTTCGATAATTTAAGATAGATAAATGATCGAAAAATGTATGTCATAAATACCTAATCAAATTAGTTTCATTATACAATATTAATAGATGTTTTTACTATTAATATTATTTTTATATTTAATGGTAGTAGATAGCTTTATTACTTAAATATAGACGTCGTACCTAAATTTTTGTATTAAGAAATATTTTCTATAAATGATCGATCTAACAATGAAAACAGGTAGACAAAACGACTAAAATACATTTAAATAAACTATTTAATAATAGTACATTTGTCCATTTAGGTAAAATATTTCATTGTTAAATGTATATAGATATTCAGACTAGAACAAAATAGACAACATATCAAATACTTTAGGTAACTAAACTACTCAACAACTAGACTTATCAACTAGTTTCCACGATGTAGTTTCTTTTTCTAAAAATTAGTTATATCTCCTCAGTAAATAGATAAATTAACTATCATAAATTTGACTAATTAGAATTGTTTATGTCAGCTAAATTACGTTAGGTAAACGAATAAATTTTGTAGCAAAAATGACTATTTGTCTAACAACTAAATTGATTTAGTTCAATTTTCCATATCATTTTTCTCAGTGTAGCCACA